TAGTAGTAGTAGTAGTAGTATAAGCTAAAAGGGGCTTAGTTGGGGGTATACCATGTAGATATAAGCTAAAATGTTTGGTGAATATTCAGGATTCTATGTTATGCCGTTTTCGTCCCTCGTTTACTTGTGGCATCCACGTCTCTGACGCTAACCGGGTCAACGAACCTAAGTCTCATAACTAGACACTGCACAGGTTTCAATCCCGAAAGGATTGGCGACAACACGCTACCCCGCTTGACTTTAGATTTGGAAGCTATCCACCGCGCGGCCTGCTCCCCAAACTAGGCGCCATGGCGCCAACTCGGTTTCTGTATGCGGAGTTTTCAGCTGCCATGCAGACAGCCCGTGATTCTCTGTCGTCCGAACAACAGGTCGGCTACGCCAAGCTATGTCTCGGGGGCTGAGGGGCCAGACGTGCAGGAAAACGTTCGCCGGAAGAAGAAAGGCCGGTGCGACTTCGGCCATCTACGACTATGAACTGGATGTCGTTCAAGGTTCAGGCCCTCTCGTGTTGGCTCCCTTCTCGATTTAGTGGAGTCTGCAGCCTGGGGTTTAGTTGAGAGGGGCTCGGGTTCAATGGTGACAGCACAAGGACCGTTACAAGGATCTTGAGAGGGAGCCCTGACCCAGAAACAGCCATCAACTATTTGACCGGAGCTTCGTACCAGAACCCCCCCCTGCGACCGGGTTCTGGTATGCCGCATTCTTACGTCTGGCTTTTGCGGCCCTGCGCAGGGTTCTGGGGAATTAGGCTGGAAGCAATCATTTCGTGCCCGATCTTCTGGCCCAGCACCTTGCTCGATTTACAAGGATTGGGAGCTTCGAGTGTCGGGATCACGGGTTTATCATCATTGACCGCTTGTTGGCAGAGCCGAGTACAGGAGACCCCAATGCTTCCACGTGATCAACATGATAACCGTTAGAATTACCGCACCTCCCCCAACATCATGCTTATGAGGCAACACTCAGGCCTTTGAGCGAGTGCAGGATGAAGGTCTGACTGCAGACCTATCTAGCTGATGTACCGAAGGACCCAAACCGAAAGAAACAAAGGCCCCAAACGTTACACCCAAATGCATCAAACAGCAGCTGATCACTTTTCGGGCCCGTGTCTGCCGAGCAATAGACGTTCACCTCCACCATCGGCCCGTCGCACAAAATAGCGTCTACTTGCTCACATATCTTGGCGGTTGCGGTGGATGTTGTAGTGTTTTTTTGTTTTTGGTGTTGTGTTTTTTTTTTTTTGTGTGTGTGTGTGTTGATGTTGTATGGTTGTTGTTGGTTGTTGTTGTTGTTGCTTGTGTTTAACGCCGGCACAGCCGCTGCTGCTGCTGTTGTTATTGATGATGATGATGGTGGTGGTGCTGTTGCTGCCGCTGCTGCTGCTGATGTTGTTCTCATTATCGCTATTGCTAATTGTTGTTCGTGGTGTTGCTGTTGTTGCTGCTATTGCTCTTGCTGTTGCTGCTGCTGTTGTTGTTGCTGTTGGTGTTGCTGTTGTCGTTGATGTTGCTGTTGGTGTTGCTGTTGTCGTTGATGTTGTTGTTGGTGGTGGTGGTGGTGGTGGTGGTGGCAGCCTCTTTCAACGACGCAAAACCGCTGCACTGCAAACAACAATACGACATCGTTGCTGATTCTGCCGTTTTCTAAAACGCATCTGTTCTGCCGTTGCGAATATGGTGTTTACCTTTAGCATCTGCCGTATCATGTCATATCTATCTTGCCGTGTGTTTCATTGTTCTGCAAGTAGCTGCCAACCTGCACACTGTCGGGCAGCATAATTATCGCATGATGACACTCAGCGAGCTGTACAGTTTTAGATGCCATACGGTAGAAGCACAGATAAACTGCAAATACATGTATACAAAGACACATGGTTTTAAGCGGCATCATTTGCCAAGTTCTGTTCAAGATGCTTCCGTCCGAGAGCGTGATTTGTGTGTGTGTGTGTGTTGGCACGCTCGCACATAACGGTAAGTTACTTTGCCTTGGCTTGCCCTTTTTCCGCCTTGATCCTGAAAGCAGGGGACCACCGGGGCTTTCGGGGGGCGGTCGGCAATGAAGCAGGCGAGGAGCCCGTGCGCAAACTTATCGGCGGTCTCTCCACCCTCATGGCACCTGGGGTCGTCGTGCCAGCTGGTGGATGAGGTGTGGGGACATCATCATCTCGTTTGTCTTTCATCTCATGCTGGCGCTGGGTGATTCCTCTTAGTCTCACTCAGCGGAGGCAGGACCTACACTCGCGCATGATTGTCATCTTGCTGTACAGGTACATATACCTTTGAAACCGGTGGCTACTCATCTTCGTTCTGATCCTGTCAGTTTGCTCAGCATAGGGATGTGTGCTTCTGCCCATGTCTGCTCTGTAGGTCTACTGCTGCCAAAAGCTATGCAAAATCTGTGAAGTACTGACCATCCCCGGGGCTACGGAATCATGTCGAGGCTCGCCAGCAGGAGTTGCCCTAAACCATAAACCCCGAAACCCAAGACAACAAGTCTTGAACAGTAATAACGCGAGTGCACTATATAAGGCTACACTCGTGTCATGCTACTAGTAAACGCCACAAACTTCCTTCAATGGTTGATGCGAACGCTGGACTACCACCTCCTCGTCTTTCTTCAAGCACCGAATTATACCTTCATTCCGCGTAAATCGTAAATTTAAGCACACCTTGACCAGGGAAGGGGTGCATCAATCAGGGGTCTGCATTACGACCTGAGATATTTACCCAATATTGGGCCTGGGCTTGGGTTTGAACAGCCCTCCAAAGACACACAATGGATCTCAAAGCGACCGGTGGAACCTCCAAAATCAAATGGCAGCACACTGACTAGCCTAAGCCCACACAAGGCCCGCCAGATTTGCGATAAGTTAAGCGGGCACAGAAGACAACACGAACAAAAGCTACAAACCAAACATCCGAAAGTGGGAACCTTGAGTATGCTTAAGTCCCCCAAAACTCTGCTATGGAGGCTTCGTGGCTGCTCAGACAGGGATGACAGCTTGCTGCTTCGCTCTCGACCGCCGGACTCGCAGGGGGGACTTTGATAGGGACTGCCGTGTTCAGGGCTGAGTGAGCTACACCCGCTTCGCGATTCATTACGAGTGTTTATGCTTCAGCCTGACACGGCTTGCCACAGAAACAACCGCTGGAGATGCTGTGTCTGTTGCAAGGTTTTGATGTGACCCCTTTTGCGCAAATCGTGTAACTGTTCTGCTACTTTCAAATGCCTAAAGTTAATCACGTCCTAGAACTCCGAGTACTGGGCCTTGGCCCCAATGACCGCCGTGGGTCTACTATAGCACCATTTGGTTCAAGCATGAGCGGCAAGGGTCCGATTTGGCGCCGAGCCTTTGTTCAGCCGACTAACCTTCACATCAGCCTGGAGGCCAGCACGGAAAGCCCTCGACCTGCATGGTGCTAATCCAGAAACCTAAATAATTACCAATACTATTTTAGGGGGTTCCTTATTATAGTTATAGTATAATATACCCCAAAATCCTTTTCACATTTTTAAGGCCCCTATATTATGCTGCAGCGTTGTTTGAGGGCTTCTCCTTGAAACACGGCCTGGCTAAACTCGCGGGCTTGGCAGTTCAGGGCTGGGAGATTTGAAGCTTACAGTTTCCGGCCTCTTGGGCCAAGGTTTGGGGTTTAGGGCTTTGACTTGAAGCTTCGTCATCTCTGGCGTCAGCTTTGAAAATTTCCAATTTTGGGTGGATACGATCTCTGATGACTATATCGACTCTGACACCCTACCGCCCTAGACCTACTACCGCAGTATCCAATGGCAACCCTCGCTCCTGGATGGCCCTTCTTCGGCTTGGAATCACCTGCCGATGGAGATCAGGGTTCCAACATCTTGTAATCGGTGTCAAAGCTGTCATGGCTATTGGGGCTAGGAGTCCTGTTTACTGTGTTCCCCCACATCATGGTACCATGTTCTTGCATGCCTATTGCTTTCATCGTTGTTGGCATTCTGATGGCAAGGATGAGTAACAACTCGCTTTGAGGAAATCGTCTCGCTGAGTAGAGGAGCTTTCCCTAACGTAAAGTCTATAACCCCAAACCGTAAACAACAAACCTTGAATCCCACACTCCAGATCAGTAACATTCCGTCTACCTGAAAGTCTGCATGGGCTTTTCTTTGCCATTCAAGCTCTAGGCTGCAACTTGGGGAATGAAGGTGCTGACCGAATCGAGTATGTGAAACACCGAGTTTGGGAATGCTGGCTTTGAAGGTTTGAGGTTCGATTGGGCTTTTCGTAAGGCCCTTTCCTGGCTCTTTGTGTATCGGGTCTTTTCCGTCTGCAGCGGTTGCACTCCGAAGCTTTAGAGCCTGTGTCGCACGCCCACGTTCGACGGAAGCCACGTCAAGGGAAGTTAAAGGTCCCCCTGCTAAGCAGTGCATGACTTTATTTTGCTCATCCAAAGCGCACAGCTACTAACGATCTGCAGTCTCATGGCACAAGGTTTAGGGTTCAGCTGTTGAGGGTTCTGCGACTCAAGCCTCAACTTTCAATGAACGCGGCCTGCTGCTCAGGGATCACGGACAAACCCTTCAAGCCTCGACGTTAACGAGAAGGCGGGCTGATGCAGCAGTCTGAGTCATTAACAGTGATATTCAACCCCTGTACTGTACAATTTCGATATGTTCCGTCTTTTGCATCAGGGCTGGTGCAATCGCCTGAAGGTCTGAACATACGGAGGTTCAGCTCTCATGACAGCACTTCGATTTCGATGTGTTCCCTGAACCCTGAGCCCTAAACCCTCAAACCCTTCAACCCTAAACCCTAACCCCTATAAACCCTAAAACCCTGAGCCCTCAACCCCATCACGCGCTACAAGGTCCTTTACCACTTTTCCCTTTGCAGGCCTTCGGTCTCTTGACGACGCCGCCGTCTCCGAATCGGCCGAGAGCGCTGGTAGCTGCTTTGGCTCTGGGTCGACATGGCCTCAAGGTTCAGGCTTGTAAGGTTCAGGGTGTAGGGCCTTGGGGATGTTCCTCCCGCATAACACAGAAGTTTCGGCTATTGAACTCCAGAGTCCTGACATTTTGGGCTAACCACAGCATCCTGGCTGAGACATCTTAAGCCCCGGGCATCATGACGAGGTAGAGTACTTCTAGCATTCTAGGATAAACCAGCACTGTCCGGCGAGCGACGGAGAAGTCAACATGGGGCCTCATGGAACACACAGGCTGCATGGAACTCAACATCCCGGTGCAAACCGTCGAACCATTCAGCCTCTATCAGAAAGAAGCAACGACCCTATCCATCAAGCTGCAACCCTGAACACTTAGGGGGGATTAGGCTTCGGGTTTCAGCCTCAAGCAGGAGCCCAATGATACTTCAATGAAAGTTTCCTACATGGCAGGGTTCCCACCCCAAACCCTCACTCAGAACCCCAGCCTATTCAAGACTCCTGAACTGTCTATTTTCAGCGTGGTATACTGGTTCCACAGAGTAGCAATGTGGTTACCGCTTCAAGTTCCTACCGCGCCACGCCCATCTGCTAAGGCCCCACACCTCTGAAAGGCGGGATTCCATCTTCTCAATCTGCTTTGCCTTCGCCGGCTCTACATGGCATGCACAACAGTTTCTCTGGTCGTTGCTCCACCAGGGCTTAGAAGGGTGGAGGCTCAGGATCTCCGGGAGATCGAGTCATTGGCGCTGAGGTCTGGTGGAGCATGGGGCTCTAAGTATAACCCGAAACCCTCAACCCACCTTTGCACGAATGGGATCTCACGCGTGTCAGCGACAAGAGACATGCAAAGCCCTACATGAACCCACAGCCCAAGATTCAAAACCCTTTCAAGTTGCATGTCTTGAAACTCTGGGGTCGTATATAGAACTCAAGGCTCCAATAACTTTCTGGGAAGACATTAGAAGGACAACATATGGAGCAACACAATTCCAGGGTGTTTCGGGGTTTTCAACCTCCGGGCTTTCGCAAGAGACTCGGCTTGCGGCTTGAGGGTCCGTCACGCGACATGCAGGAAAGGCCACAAAGGAGTCCGTGGCCCAAGCACGGTCTGGGCTTGCGCGAACTTTCACGACCGAAATCCTCAACCTCTGAGATCACGACCCAGGCGGCTGAAAGGAACACGAACCTCCCGCACAGTTTAAACAGCAGAGACTTATCGAGTCTTCTGTTTGACGAGTTGCGGCTGCATTGTGTTCGCTCATGAGCTGCTGGAGGTTATACCGAACCTGATATCGGCAACGCATGAGGCCCAAAGCTTGAGCATCGACATTGTTGATTTTGGTACCAGATGGCTTCTCTGTCATCTGCAGGGTAGTACAGACCTGCAGCTCAGTCTGCTCCTAATTTAGAAGACTTGACGGCGACGTTGCACTTTAAAGGACGGCGAGATCTCGCGCCACTTGTTTCTTCCAGCTTGCAGTGCGGCTCGGTTGAAGCACAACTGTCCGTCTCAACAGGAACGAATGACTGAATTTCACGCGCAAGGTGGCAAGTCGGGCTGGTAGCCCGAGGCCAGAGTCTCCGGAATAATTTCACACGGAGGCTAACCTGTGACATCTGCTGCATGACATCGCATCCTGCATTCCAGGCCCAGGACCCTTTACTGAAGCTGATTTGTGTGTCGCGGGGTCATTGAATAAAGCCCGAGACCCGGAAGTCGTCAGTTTTAGGTGGTAGGTAGGGACACCGTAACAGACAATACCCCAACCTATCGAAAATGTGTTTAAAACTTGTTCAAAGCTATTGCGTATTCACATTGTGCTTGTGTCTATATAGTTTAAGATACAGTAACCAAGCTTGATCTATGTCTCTTTATTATACTGTATGTTTTTGTATGTAATATTTGTCTACGTGTACATTCCACCCTAAAGCAGCTGCTGCCGAATCATGATCCTACTGGTGTGCAACAAAACCAAAGAATGAGGACTAGTGTCGAGAACATGAGAGTTACTGCTAATGCTATTGCTTCGTGACTTCGCGACGTGTTTGAGAAGTTACAAAAGGACATAGTTCAACAGAGTCAGCACCCTGATCTCGACATACAGTCTGCTTTAGTAAACCCGGAATATCCCTACCAGTGACTGTGCAGCATATAAGTGCCATGTAAAACCCAAAGCAAAAGCTCAATCTGAAAAGGACCGCTAAGACTGCAAGGGCAGCCGGAGAGCGAAGCGGGTGGCCGTCTTCGACTCGAAGGCCCAGCGTGAGAGTGTCTTCTTGAACTCGTCCGGGTCCTGTAGGGTTTTGGCATGTAGTGTGCTGCTGAATTCCTTGGGATGAAGTCCAACGAAAGGTAAAGGGAAAAATGAACCGACACTTAGGGAAACAACGGACGGAACTTAACATTCCCGTAGGCATTGCATCGAAGTCTTTCGAATTGCTGTTGCTGCCGTCACCGCTGGGCAACAAAGAAGCCAGCAGTATAGCAGCAGTGGCAATAAGACCAACAACAGCAGCGGCCAGCTAACAGGCCAGTTAGCTGCTTGCAGTTTAGTTCGCTGGCTAATTAGTTGGGATTCGTGAGAATCGCTATTGGTTCCAGACGTCGTAGTCGGAGCAGGAGGAGTTACATTAGCCGACGTCGCTGCCCTCATAGTCCTAGTGTCCTAGTAACAGTCGTAGTAGTGGCAGCGGCAGTGGTAGTCGTCGTGGTCGTCGTCGCAGTCGAAGTGGTGTTAATTGCAATACTTGTAGCAATAAGTAGTACTAGTGAGAACAGCAATAGCATTCGCAGTAGCAGTAGTAATGCAGTGGTAGTGGTAGCAGCGGCAGCAGCAGCAGCAGTGGTGGTAGCTGTAGCAGTAGTAGTCGTCGGCATAGTAGTGGTGGTGGTGGTGCTAGTAGTGGCAGCAGAAGACAAGAAGAAGTGGTGGCAGTGGTTCTTGTAGTAGCTTTAGCAGTAGCCGTAGCCGTAGCAGTATAGCAGGTGCCGTAGCAGAAGCAGTAGCAGCAGCTGTATTCGTAGTAGCAGTAGCAAGTTGTCGTCTTTGCGGTGCATGTGCTGTGGATTGCGGTGGTGCTGGTCGTCACAGCGCAACACATTTTTCTGCAAAAATAACACTCATCAGCCAGGGGACAATGGTGCCACCACCGTCTCGATCCAGCATGTTGAACAACTGCTGCAGGTCCTGACTGAAAGCGGCAACGGGCTCTGGGCTTCACCAACAATCTTCTGGCGTTCGAGCCATTCGTGATAACCCTGTATGCTCCAAGCCCGAAGCCTTCCCAGCCGGCAGCACGACGTGCTTGAAGCCCCATTGCTGGAAGGCTGCACTTCACAAAACGGCGGTGCCCGCATCAGGATTAAACTTATCATCCTTTGGGTGTACAAACACGTATTAACACTTCGATCTCTTCACACGATACATCTGCATGCTGTTGCCTGCACCCATGACCCAGGTCCACTTATGTGAAGAGACGATTCTTGACGAAAGGGCCTGCATCTGCAATGAGTCCTTTCCGGGGTTAGGATTCTACATTTTCTTGTCTGTTGCATTTCGCCCGAAAGACCTGTGTGTTTTGTCAGATGAAGTATGTCAGTTCCAATGCCTGCTCTCCTGAAGTTAAATGCCCAACCTACAATACGACCTGTGTGAAAGTACCCGGGCACCAAGTTCAAAATTCTACACTTGAGCTCTGGTGTGCTAAGATTTCATTAAACGTTCGAACTGGGACCGTGGGTGCTGGTTTCACACCTGATCTCCGCACACTATCGGTAGCTCCAACAGAACTGCTTGAGCAGTGATGCATTGGAGCCACATGTAACTTCTATGTCCCTCCTCCAAAGGGGGGGGGGATCGAAGTCATGTCGGCAAGCCTTTTCGATCCGGCTTCATCCCAACCCCAACTCTAGAAAACATGAACCTAAACTAAGCCTCAAAGCTGGACGCTCCTGCTGGTCGATGTCCATGACCCGAAGGCGGTTCCTGGGAGGAACGTTTTCTTCGAAATCAGTGGCCGGGTGTGGCGGGTCATGATATGCTCCGGAACTCAGCTACCGTGCATGCCTTCGTGGTTTATGCAACGTGCGCAGAGCTAAGGCGTGCAGGTGCGTATGTCGACACAGTGCAAATCATTTGACATGCCTGCTGGACAGATACGAAGTCAGATGTGCATGGAATCATAGCCATGGACATTGGGGTCCACATGGTGGTCCGTCTGGCAGGAAGGGAAAGAAACATCCTGCTGAACCTTCAGAAGACAGCAACCTGCCAAGTACGCTAAAGTCCCCAGGCTTGCGGCAGGGAGACTGTTAGACTGCTGAACTTCTTGGCCATCTAACACGGCATCTGCAAGTTTGAACTTTCGGTTCAAAGATGCAGTAGCTCAGAAATTAAACGGGCCTTATTGCTCATGTAACGAAACGTAACGAAGCAGTCTGTGATTCCCGTGTGGCCTGCCTGAAAAGCAGGTTTCGCTTAAGCAACAGCAGACTTCCAACAGTTGAGTCCATAAAACACATGCAGACGTCGAAAGCAGAGGTGCTGAAACTCACGCACTCGACGAGCGCCATCTTCCAGCTCATCGAGGGTCAAAGTGCCGTCCATGTCCTGGTCATCTCACAGCATTTAGGACGATTAAGATGTCGGAGTTTGGAGATTCGGCGCTTCAGAGTTCAGGGGTCTAGTGGTTATGCAGGGGCTTTGGAGTGAAAGGTCTGGTGCTTCAGGTTTTGGTGCGAACACGGAATTTCGGGGGCAGAAAAACCGGTCTTTCAGGTCAGTTCCAGACGGCCCCTTGACGGACTTGTGAGAGCTTACGGCAAAGGGTCTGGGATTCCGGGTCTATTCTCTCACGCCCCTGTCCTGGTCGATCTTCAGGAAAATTCGATCGAGCTCCCTCAAATCGTCCTCGGCCTCCTCGTCCATCTCCATTGCCTCAGATCGCTGGCTGAGCGGCAAAACATAAACACAACCCCAACACGTCGAGGGAATGGGCAAGCCCATAAATTAGACAGAGCGAGCAGACACCGTCGAGTTTTAGATGCTACTGTCAAGACCATGCCAAGACCTATTGAAGGCCGTGGTTCGTGACCCCTAGCTGCCTAGCTCTGCCGCAAGCACCCCGACGGCTAAAACAAACAACCAAGGCGGGAACAGTTGCAAGACATGCAACTTGAACAAGCCGAACCCCATGCAGCCTTATGATAATTTCGACTTTCTCATCTCTAGTTCAACATGCACACAAGTCACAAGTGTCTATCTAGACACACTCACACACACGCATATATATATATATATATACAAATATAGAGATAGATAATATATATATATATATATATACACATGTGTGTGTGTGTGAGTGTGTGTCTGTGCCTGCATGCATACAAACCGTACATGCATCCGAAGTATTTGGCACATGTGTCACATGTGCATGTCACAAATGTTAATGCACGGCGTGCTGCAGGTGTTTGACTGCCTCTGCACATGACCGTGGAATGCTCCAGATTCATGGGGATGAGCGGAAAGCTTGGGTTGCAGCGATTCGTTGATGACAGCTTTTTGATCAAAGGACGGAAACAAAGGTACAGTATCCAACCAAAATCCATGGGCTCTGTGCCAACAGTCACCCCTTGAACCCTGCGATATGCTTGTTGGTGGTCGTGGTTACGTGCATCTGCGAATGGCAGCAAGGTTGCCATCGTCGCAACGTCTTTCAAGCGCTGCTCTGCAAAGGTGTCAACCACCACGGCGACGACCAGATTCCTTTCGATCCCCTACATCCTCAAATCTGAAGCTCCCCAGCAATCCGTGCACTCTAAACGCTCTGGGCCCACCACTCACATTTCTGGTTAGTTTCTATTAGTTCATTATCGCATAACACAGTGAACCGGTTGTCTACATGTCGCTCAGACTCCCTATGGGTCCCTCGCCCTGCTTGCGTAACGGATGCTGTGTCAACCTGCAGGCGAACATATCTAACCGTCGTAGAAACGTGATGGAAGCGTCCTGCTTATTGGTTTGCCAGGCTGTCGGCCGCGATCATTCCGGTGCATGACATGGCTTCTGAAGGAAGCAAGCAGGGATGAATCAATGAGAAATGCCGGCCCGCGTGAGGGACTGCGAAAGTGCTTGGATAGGCTAGTGTTTCGAGTTTCCAGTCCACCGTTTCGGATCAAAAAGTTACGAGCTGTCATACACCCGGGCTGCCGCACAGAGTTTGTGGCCGGGGCACAGGACCCCAAAGACGATGGTCAAGTGGGAGCCGACGAAGATGCCGGACCTGACGTGTGCGGCTGTTGGATCTAGAATTAGGCACAAACGTGATCAAATGTGCATCATCCGGATATGCCTGACAGGAACGGGGGTTCTGGCTGCAAAGCTTTTTGCTGTGGAACAGCACTCCTTCACGCGATCGTTCCCAGCAATGTCTCTATACTCGCCAGTCATGAGTACACTTCTACACACCTGTAAAAAAGGAAAGTTGGAAAGCTGAAACAATCCAAGTCCTGTCCAGGAGCGCCAGCCATGGTTCCTCTGATATGAGCGGCACCGCTACATCACCTTTGACTTCTTCGGGGCGAGAGGAAAGTGATGGGCTGTGAAGCTATTGCAGTTTTGGATGATTGCAGAACCCTGTCCTGAAGGTTGCAAATCCAAAACTCCTCGTCCGAAATCCGAAGAGCTCTTGTGCATCCCGGCTTGGGAAGTCACCCGGGAAAGACGCACAAGCATCGTGCCAAGCGAAAGCCCTGAGAACCCCGAACCGTAAACTCCAGGGCCCTAAGAACCCTCAACCGCTCAAGCCCAAGTCGGCCCAAGGTTGTCAAAAGGGCTTAATGTGGACCTGGAGAGATATACTCAGGGCTTCGGGGTACGTCGCCATTGTCAGTATATCCAATTTGTTCAATCATTCTCTAAACAAGCCATCTGGCAGAATTGGGTGAGCCAACTTCCTGCGTCGCCACTGCTCTTCGAGAGGTCATTTGCTGGAACATCATCTTTCGTGCGCTGTTCGCTTCCTCGAGCGTTGCTGTTTGCCATGGCCACCAAGATCCCGACTGATGCCGTGATGCTCTACGCTCGTGACTTTGCATCATCATGTCTAGGACAGCGGCGTCCGCCGCTCAGATGCTGCTGATGCCTATGCTCGCAAAGCTCACGCTTTTGCCGTTCCGTTGTCTGGCAACGACTGTCCCGAATTGTCCTTATGAAGCTCGTGCTTTGGCACAGCTGTTGCCGGTTGATGCGAATGATACTCACACTGTAGCCAGGCCCAGGCCCACAGAAGCCAACATCCCAGCCGATGTTCACAATGCTCCCCACTACCGTCTCTCTCTCTCTCTCTCTCTCTCTCCCTCTCTCTCTCTCGCGGACTCAGAGGCCCACTACCGTCTCATAACCAGTTACTGGCAGCAAGATCCGGGTTGGTGCTCTAGATGTTCAGGGGCTGGTTCTGTTGCGGACTGCAAGTCTCCGCTGATGCGGGTGGTGCTGGTGCTCGTTCTTCTGCGCTGCTCATACTGATTGCCAGATTAACGGCCTCTGACTTTGACTCCGAATACAACCATGTTCATTCGGAGATGTCTTGGAGCGGCGAAGTCTCCGAAGCATCTCTTGTGCCAGGTGGCCCCATCTATCTCCGGCCACGACGGTCTTGAATATGAGCAGGACTGCGTTTATGACCGACCTCGGCAACCCAGCAAGCACCTCTACACATCCGCACACAGATAGAGACATAACTGTTTTGTCTGTTTAGTTACTTATATGGAAAACTGTTCATGTACCTGCTTCATTCATGTTTATGCAGTCGTACACATGCGTATACCAAAACAAGCCACGCACGCACGCACGCACGCACG